CTCGATATGGGCTCCCTTACCTCCCCGTATGAACGTTACGTCCGATCGAGGGAGGGGTAGCGCGCCCCGATTACCAAGAATGAAGGAGCGTACCCTGTGCTCGTTGATCACGACGTGCTTCACCGTATCGTTGGCGGTAGACGTGCTGCTGCAGGCGAACGTCCACCCGGTCGTCGATTGGAAAGGGATATTCGTGCCAGTCTGCCTGTACGCCATATTCGTGCACGGCCGTTCCACCACCAAGCTGATATCGGCATGCAGACTGACCCTGTGCATAGCGGCGAACGTGTCTTTTCTCTCCAACTTGAAGTTCCTGATCGGGCCGTGCGGTGTAGCCTACAGGGATCCGGTGGAGGCGTGTTCATCGGGTGGACACAGTTGCAGGCAAGCCGTTTCGGACGCGTTAAAATGGGAATCGGATCAGCATCGTTGCCCAATCGTCGAGCTCGGCCATACTGCGGGCTCCATTTACTACTTCGTCCAGTTTGCTTTCGTCTACTTTCCAACAGCTGTCTCTTATACACAATGCACATCGCCGATCGTACGAAGGTTGGCGGCCGCCACCACCGCCGCATCGGCAGCGACTGGACGTGGTACAAAACGTTGGGGTTGCCGGTGGTCGCTGCAACGATCATGGTAGACGTTCTGTCGGGGAGCGGTCGTTTACCCGCTGTCCTCGGAGTACGTGGTGTATCCTTTCGTTTTGGCGGCTGTACTATCGAGATACAAATCGATAGGAAACGTGTGGAAGGCGGCGACCATCACCAGCGTCGCGATGGCAACGGTTGATCTGATACGTAACGTTTTAATCTACCGGCTCGGTCCGTGCGTTTTTGACGGTCGGGATCTATTCGACTGCAACTCGATGAATTCCTGCTACGAGAATCTTCTCGATCTCAGCGCTACCAAGATCGACGCAACCGATTGTCCGACAAACAAACTCGGAAAACACTGGGCCACGGCTTTTACCGTCGCGCATTCCGTGAGGTTTGCCACAATCGTACTGCTGCAAAGCTTCATGCTTTCCAGATCGACATCGGCCCAATCTGCAAAACGAAACTCGAATGCGGACGACGACGACGATGACGACGAACATGTGAAAGAAAGCCGACGCGGCGGTGGTGGTGGTGGTAGTGAAGACGACGACGACGACGAAGATGATTTGTTTGTTAGAGGACGAGATGTTTGAAGTGTGTTGTTGTTGTTTATTTTATTTATTTTCTTTCAGATAATTCATAAGCCAAAGAAATTTAATGAAAATGTCGACTCTTCTGCATCATCAGAAGACGAGTCATCGGACGATGAAAATAACACGGTACCTGAGACATCGGACGAACAGAGTTCGGATGAAGAGATCTCGGACGAAGGCTACTCGGTCGGTGATTCCCCGGACGATGAGGTGTCATCCGATACGGACACTGTTATAGTGGACGATGACTGGTTGAAAAGAAATAATCTTATGTAGCTATAGAATATATTTTGTTTGTTGAAAGAAACAAAAACAAAAAAAAATTGTGTGTGTGTGTGGTTTTTTTTTTTCTTTTTTGAATTTGTCAACTAATCTACGAGAACAGAAAGATCATCCGAATACGAAATCCTGCATATCCGGCCCATGAAAGGGGGATGGGGGGCGTTGGAGCTGGCTGGCTGGCATCGATCGAACGAAGCCCAGGTGAGCTTCGTGGGTGAGTTAGGTTCCGTAACTTTTGGACCTCGCAAAGTTCAAACAAATTTTTTTTACAAATTGATTTGAGATATGAGGACGACACTTTTTGGGGCCAGTGGTAAAGGATAGGACACTGCTCGCCTATCTCTTAACGTTGGAAGATCGAACGAAGCATAGGTGTGCTTCGTGGGTGTGCTAGGTTCCGTGACTTTTGGACCTCGCAAAGTTAAAAAAATTTATTTTAACAAATTGATTTGAGATATGAAGACGACACATTTTGGGGCCAGTGTTGAAGGATAGGACACTTTGAACCCCTATCTCTTAACGTTGGAAGATCGAACGAAGCCTAGGTGAGCTTCGTGGGTGTGCTAGGTTCCGTGACTTTTGGACTTTGCAAAGTTCAAATTTTTTTTTTTTACAAATTGATTTGAGATATGAGGACGACACTTTTTGGGGCCAGTGGTAAAGGATAGGACACTGCTCGCCTATCTCTTAACGTTGGAAGATCGAACGAAGCATAGGTGAGCTTCGTGTGT